CCAGGTTCTAAGGGATCTCAATATCATTGATCCTTCACAAGGGTGGTTGTTCAGAAGGCAACTTACTTGCCAACCAAAACCCTCCAAGTTTAAGATCTCAATGAGCGTAGTATCGAGTGTCAACCAACTTCAGTCTGCACCAAAGCCGGTTACCTCACTACTTTCTAAAGGCCAAGATGAGTTAACTAGGGTTCTAAAAGTCAGTTAGTGCATTGACAACATATGGCAGCCTCAATATTATCCTCAACTTGACTTAAGGAATATAAGCACCAACCAAGAAGTCGCACTAACTATGGCCACCAGATCAACCGTATCGATATACGTCGTACAGTTTCCTTGGTCTATTGCCATTTACCTAAGGTACACTAGATCCGGGTTAGGACCTTTCACACATAAGAGCACCCCAACAATATAATAATAAAGCAAACAAGGCAAACAATTTAAAGTGATCTTAATTCCTAAGGGTACCCCTCTTAAATTTATCCCCAGCAGAGTCGCCAGTTCTGTAACACGGTGGGAGAACTGACTTTAAACAATGTTGCGGATAGCAAGAGTCGCCACCGACTTTTATTTTATCCATAAGGAAAGGTTATAAAAGAACAGGAAAGACCTTAGAGAATATTTTGGGTCCGGGGGGTAGGTTATGAAAAGGGAAGGTGTTAGCACCCTTTTCATCCATGGTTATCCATGGGCTCTTAGGTACTTAAGCTCACTTTTGAATTGTTTTGAAAGTGTAGTGTGTGAATAGCAAAAAAATTTCAGAATAGTTTAATAATAATCCGTGTATGGATGTGAAAAAAACTTGTTTGAAAATTTTGTTGGAAATTTGTTTAAGTGTGAAAAAGTTTTGAAGTGAGCAAGTATCTAGGAGTAGCCTACCCTAAGGTCTTTCTTATTCTTTATCCTTTCCTTAGTAAGACTATCCCTACTATAATGGAGTAGGTAGTCCTTACTTTGGATGTTAAGGGACATGTGAGGGACAATTGGATTTTTGAAGGCCATTGTGAGGTGTAATAAGCAAACTGGAGGGACTATCATCATTTTTCGAAAGGGACTCGATTCGTAAAGGCAACCATAAGGGACTTTGATGATTTTCTTTTTGAGGGACTTGCTTTATACACCCCACTTAACCAATATTCGTAGGCAACTTGAGGGATATCCTTAGGAAGTGAGACGGCGATTAAAATCGACTTACGTGTGTGACGTGTTTATTTTAATTATCTTTATTTAAAAGTGATCTAAATTTATTTTAATATTACATACATGTTGTTACACTCCCTAATTACTAACCATAATAATAATTAAATAATTAAACAACTTTACATCCAAGAAACAATTACAAAATAATAAGCAAAATAATTAAATAGCAAAATATAAATAAGCAATAATAAATAATAAAGGTGGTTAGTAAGCAATATCTAACAAAATAATAAACATGATTAGAATATAAATGGGTTAGTATTATAGTATAAGGAAAAAAATTTTAAATAAGATAATTTTAATCATCATTAACAAAAAGCACAAATATCTTATCATTTTAAAAGGTTATTAATTTGAGATTAGTAAATACAGAGTAAATTAAGTTGAGTTATTGAAGGTTAATTTGAAAAGAAGATAATTGGTTTTAACTTTATAAAAAGAGTTGATTAAGGTTAATTAATTATCTTTAAAAAATGATTAATTAAAATGGGTTATCAATTTATTTTTTAAAACCTAATGGTTAACTAAAGGATTAAAATATTATTAAAAGAAAAAAACTGATTATCGAAAAGTTAGAAGATGATTATGGTGATTTTAATGGTGATTAGTGTGATTAGTGTGTGGTTAGGCGTTATATTATACAAGTAATGAAGCAACAGAGAGAAAACAAGAATGGAAAACTAATCCCCAGAATCCCCAAATCGGAAACCCTCTCCCTCAACTTCCGATCGCGTCTTCTCCTCTTTCCAATCGCGTCTCACTCAAATTTCTGTACCTGAAACAACAATCACAACATTAGTCATTCAACAGACTCAGTTCAAAGTGAGAGGTTACCGAAGGCTGGTAGAACGGTGAAGACGCGTGCGGTGGAATGGACTCTTCGACGGTTGTGTCTGCGGCGTCGGCGGGATTTCGTGGTAGCTGAAGGTAGCTCGTCGGCCAGAGACATGAGTTCTCCTCTTTTCTTTGCTCAATTTTTAGGTTACGAATTCGGTGTTTTGCGGTAGTACTAGGGTTTTTTCGTTGTTATCGGCTTCTTCCTATTCATCTCTTTATATAGGCCTCGGTTTGGATTTCCTGATTGAAACTGATTAAAATCAATTGAATACTGATTTGGGCTTTTCCATATTAGGGACAATCAAATTGAAACTTTCTCCTTTCGTCGATTGTAGTAATGAGCTGTTTAATTGATATTTCAATTTGTGATTTTGTGTACTAATTCGAAATCGGACCTGATTTGAATCCTTATTATCCCCTAAATATTCTCTTTATCGGTTATTTTCCCAAACAATTACTAATTGCAATCGATGTTTGACAGGTGCGGGTAGTGAGTGATTTGGGCCAGAAAAAGGATTGGAAGCCCAGAAGAGAGGAGCTCGAGTTTGATGTGTCCATTGGAGAATCGTTGGTAGATGGAGATGACACTCGGTGGCTCAAAAAAAAGAAGAGTCCCTTGGAGCTTAAGAGCGCTTTAACGACTGCTTCCTTATTAGGTTCAGAAGTTTGTTCTATCCACTTGCCGGATCTGAGGATGCTACAGTTGTCGATTACCGTCTCGTATGTATCCCATTGTTCTTTTGCTAACAAGTTCAGTTGTGCTTCCAATGCTGAGTTTGTGAGTTGGAGTTGGTGTTTTCGTTCGAAGGTTCTTGACTTGAAGTTGAGATAACGTTGGTATACGCTCTGTGCTATTCATCCCGGTTGGGTCAGTTTGGAGTTCCCTAAGAACGAAGGAGGATAGTCTACAAGGTAGCCTTCTGAATTATCACTAGTTTGATGCATAAGGTGTTATCTTGTATCTGTTCTAATCCAGTCTTATGGTTTCGTGTGTTGAGGAGGGTGTTTGGAAGCATAGTCAAGGGTGCTGTTGTCTGAAACAATCCTCTCTGGTTCTATATCGGTAGCTGCACCACTGTGAATGTCAACGACGGTAGGAATGCTTGTTGGGCAAGGGACAGATTCTCCAGGATGATCTGACTTGAATGTGGTTTCGTTATCGACTGTTCTCATCTCAACATCTGCACATGTGGCAGTCTCAGGTACCATTTCACTCCTCTCTTGGATACCGGCGCTGGAAGGCAGGGGTGTGGCCACTTCAGAAGACTCTTTGGTTTCTTTTGTATTTTCAGTCCATAACCGACCCATCTCATCATCCCCATTTGCCAAATAGTCGGTAAGTGGATTTTCTCGAGAGGCCGGAGGTTCTGCTTGAGGAAAACCAAATTGAGTGTTGCTGTTTCGGCTAACATATTCATCTCGGTAACTGAACTGAGTTTCACGAAAAGTATCGTTGCTTGGAGGGACATAATCAACTAAGGGAAGTGCCCTGGGATGTATAAGCACTTCCAAGGTTAACATAGCATGAGCACAGAACTCAGCAAGCTTTGTTCCAGTTTGTTGCTTTCCTCTTCGGAAAAGTTCAAGGCCCTGTGATAAATATGGGGGCCGTGACGCAGAAAGAAAAGGCGCCAAAAGGGAACGCAATGCAGCAAGCTGCAAATCTGTGGCAGTTGCAGCTGGATCCTTTTTCTGAAACACATTTATTTCTTCATTGGATGAACCTTCTCTGAATGAATCCATTGCTATGGCTATCAAAAGACTATCAACTTTGGATCTCAACTGTTCTGACTTTAAAGCGCCAGCCACAGTAATAAGAGCCTCTAATGCCTCAAGTGCAGCTATCCTCAGAGAAATTGGAGCCACCCGATATTTCTTAGGAACTTGTACTCCTAAAACACCACCTGCCTCATTTTCCTGAAGGGATCCATTTGTACTGCTATGCTTCCTTTTTCTATTACTTGCTGGTTGCAGTGCTGCGGCGGAGACGTCAGTATTAGAACCATTTGACATGCTTACGTTCTTCTTCTCTAGGGTACTCAAATCAGCAATAGCATTATTGACAACTTCCTTTGACAGACATAAAGCCATTCCAACACCCATGGATATGAGCAGAATCTTTGCCACTGAATAGACCTTAATCCTTATTTCTGGCAGCTGACATGTCTTGAAGTACTTCGTAATTAAACGTACAATAGAGGCAGCATGTGGTAATAGTTGACTGCCTGTGGCCTTTATAATAGCTGTAAGCAATTCCAGACTACACATATGCAAAACTGGCAGTTCTGAACAAATGTTCTCCTGCTGTCTGGCGGTCCTGAATGGCAATGACATTTCTGGCAAAGCGCCATTTACCATCAGAATTCTCTCAACAAGGACCAATAATAGGCGAACAGGTACATTAACCTTAACTTGATAAGCATTTGTGAGCAGCATGCAACAGCTAGACATAAGTGTGGAGACGCTAGACGCTCGTGATTGTTTAGACCTCTTTGTTGTGTTGTCCCTAGCTTCTTCTGTGGATACATAGCCTCCTAAAGGTGGTGGAGGTTGTTTCCCGGGCAGAATCAACAATCCGTTGAACTCTTTTCGAATGTAATCTTCTTCTAGACCTTCAAACTTCAAATTTAATTGATCATTTATTAAAATCAAAATTTTCTGCAACATCACAGACCAGCTTTCTTCATCTCCTTTTGATTTTGGAAGCAATGCTAGACAATGTGCAAGTTTCTTCATCATATCGTGACTGCATCCTCCAGACACAAGTTTAACTGCAATAGCAGATTCAACACTATCATAATGACGCTGAATAGAAAACGGGAATGAAGTTATCAAGGTACATATCACATGAACTGCAGCTTCCCATACTTCCTCTGAGTTGTCATCCTGTAACATCTTTAGAACAGGCTGAACAACTTTTACAGCAGAGGCAGACCCATCTTTCTTGAACTTGGGAAATCCACTTAACCTTGCAAGCAGATCAATATGGAAGCACAAGCAGCCACCTTCACTAAATGAGAATCTTCCGGTGACTGTAGAGAAGTTAGCAACTTCTGGAACCACACAGTGTAAGATTCTTGGAAACGATCAGAACTGCACTCTTCACAAGTAACCCCTAGCAAAGATATTCCTGCCCAACGTTTATCAGGCGAATGGCTAGAAAGGAGGAGCAAAACACGATCGACCCATGAAGTAACAGAAGATTTCCAAGCTTTACCCTGTTTACTCTCCATGGAATCTGTTACATCCTCAGATAGGAGAGAATGTGTTTTGATCAGAGAGACAACTTTGGAGAGTTCGGAAGGGTTGGAAAAGGGGTGATCGACGGTGGGGAGGTAGTCACTGATGAGAGTGTTGAGCAAGCGTGGTTTGAGTGCAACATCGTACATGTCTCCGAAGTGGTCGAAGGCTGCCATTGGAACGGCGGGAGCTCGGAACCTCCGTGTCTGCGTGCGACGGTGACTGAAGTTTTCTGCTGCGGAAGTGCTTATGCCGCCGTGGGTTTTGGGTTTTCAGTGATAAATCAGTATCGGCTCTACCTCGAAGATGAGTACTTCTAACTCCCTTATTCTTTGATACCCTCTTTTCCTATGGTGCTTTATGAATGAGTTGAAGGTGTATGTATGGGAATCTGTTTATATTCTGCATAAAAAACCTGTTATGACCACTATTTCGGCTGCCACGTCCTTCCATCAATTATGAAAGAGTTTTCCTTGTTTGTGATGACAATGCTGTTTCAATATGGCCATATTATGTTAAGTAGAATACTGAGGATTTCTTTTCAGAATAATAACATTGCTTGCTGTTATTAATAGGATGCGACGCCACCGCTAAGTCCGAGGTCTAGATATGTTCATACGCCTGCTGATGGACATCAACCGTGGACGAAGTCAAGTGTAGGAAAAACCTTTAGCTGCCAAGACAACAGCAATAACTGCGTGCTGGGTTTTATTCTCAAGACGAATCATTGCATCAAATACTCATTGTTATCTATAGGAATGCTTGGTCACCAATTCACCCATAAGACTGTGTTCATTCACTACCTTTCTTAGTGCAGAACGTGGTTACGAGGCTTTAGTACATTAATTGAGAGGGTATCGCACAACTGGCCTGCTATGTAGAAATTTTGCTTTCTTTGGCTGCTGTTGATGCATACCAGATAAGTTAACTGCTGTTATTAATGTATTAACTGTTGTTGCTGATGTTGCAGGTTAGTCGAGATTTGCGGCGAAGCTCAAGGGCCACTTAGCATTTTTAGGACTTAGGATTTTTAGATTAGATGTAACATTTGTAAATGTAATCTCACAGCAATTCCAATGTGAAATGATTCACTTCCTTTTGTAAAATGATATTCTTATGAAATAAAAATTCCATGATCATTCAACTTTGAATCTATTTATATTTATTTCTAGTTATAAATTATAAATATTTGTGAATAAATCCACAAATATTTAAATTCATTATTCTAGTCATAAACCATAAATACTCACGAATGATATTCTTGCTCATGTACTTGTCTCGTTGGTAGTCCTAATCTCATCACCTGACTTCATTCATTTGGATTCTGGCCAACGATATTCTCCTCATTTTCTAACCAAACGCGAATGTGCGCCGTAATCACAACAGATCTAGTATCAATGATGATATTGCCCGTAATTGAATTCCACTGACCAAATGATATAAGCAACAATCCAATAATACCCAATTAAACTGCGCCTTATTAACAGCAACGGAAATGCTCTGGAAATAAACCATGAGCGATAAAATGGACCTTAAATCCAGCTATGCCCGACAAATTTCGATACCGAACACATCGAATTGGCACCTTGATATAATCAAAACAGGTGATAAATAAATGCCTCAGAAATAGTGTCTCAAGTGTCTCACAGCTCAGTAACAGCCCGTCTTCAAAGAATTAGCGGATCCACGTAAAAATGACCAAAATACCCCTGGGACCAAATCTGAAGTCTTGGAAGTCCATTTAGCCTGATTAAAGTCAAAACCCTAGTTTTGGATGCACTGCTTAGGAGGTGCATTGTCTGAGGGAATTGTCAACTCTTCTGACCAATTGTGAACTTTGTGAACCTTGTGAATCTTCATGGAACACAAAGTCTTGTATTGTGAGGGCAAATTTTGGGGTGCAACATATTTACAGAAGATACAGAAGATTTGGTACCTTTAATCTTGATACATTTTGCAGGAACAGAAGGAGCGTCTCCAGATGCTTTCCTCTTGATCAGCTTCTGAGGCTTGTCAGCAACTTTGGGCTTCTTCTGAATAGGCACAACTTCTGCTTCTGATTGACTTCTTTTCCTAGTGATCTCATCTCCTTCATCAGGCAATGGTTCCCTTGCTCTTTTCAAAATATCTGCAGGAATGGGCGTTCCATCAGCCTTGCAAGCATTAATATAACTCACTATTATTTCCCTTGGTTGAAGCAAGAGGATTTTGGTTGAAATTTGGATTTGGTTTGTTCATGTTTGTCAAATACTAAATGCATCAATTTCTTATGGTTCAAGATTCAATTTCATATCCACTTCAAGATTCAAGATTCAAGTTCTAAGTTTTAACTCAAGATTCAAATTTCAAATTCTATGCAAGGTGTCATATAAGATCCAAATTCCAATATCATGATTCAAATTCCAATTTTTAAACTCATGTCAAATGTCCATGTTCAATTCAAGTTAAATCACAAAAACTATAAAGTCCACCATAAATTTAAAAGCCCAAATATCCACTTAATATTCAAGTTCATGCCATAAATCAATTCAAACTTTTATAAACCATGTTTCTCATAACTACACTAAAGTCCATCATAAACATTACAAAGAATAAGTTTCTATCACAGAGGCCCATATCATTTTTCAAAGTCCACCTACAATTGAGCACAATACACTTTATAATAACAAGACAAGTTCAAAAAAACTGCTACAACAAGCTGCAAAAATTCTTCTGCATCAGTACAGCAAGACCTATACTACTACACTTTAAAAACACCTGCCATAATTGCACTACTGCTGCAAACCGTACGCCTGTTACTGCTTGTACCCCATTACACTCCAAAACATATGCCCGCAACATGCCTACAATATTTTACGTTCTACCCACCCAGCGAGACACGCCTAAGCTTCAAAATAAAACCTGAAAAATCACGGTGAAGAAAGCTCATCAAGGATAGGACAAATGGAACCAGCAAGTCTAATTTTTGGTTTTTAAAACAGAAGAAAAAACGAATTGAGGGGGGATAGCAAATACAGAAAAGGGCTTCAAAACGGAAAAACTGATTTCAACGGAGGTCCCAGATTCAAGACATATCTCCTTGGCTCCGTACAAGAACTGACCTTTCATTTTCCTTCGGCTGAATAAAAAACGGGACCTCTCTTGCCCTTCTTCAAAAGCCTCTTACCCCTAATTCATACCAACCTTCCTTCTACCTCCTTCAAACTTTCAAAATATGTGAACCAATCCACAACTATCCTTCAAAATTCCCTCAACCCAAATTCCTTTACCCAAATCTGCTCAAATCTAATCAACACCAAAATCCAAAACAAAAAGGGAAGAAGGAGAGAGATCGAGTAACACCACGAATTGAATCTCAATAACTCCATAAACTCAGAGCAAGCGGATAAATCGAGATGAAGAAGAAAATAAATTAAAGAAGAGAGAGAAACAAATTAAAACAAAGCAAACCTAAACTTGAGCCAAATAAGTTGTGCCGGATTAAATGAAAATCTGAGTTTTGAAGCAGGGATAGTGAGTCGCAGAAGGTCGATCATGTTGCCTTTCGGTCGTGACCTCGCTGCCGATTTACTTTTTTTAAGCGTCTTGATGCGAGCTTCATATACCATTCTTTGTGTTGAGTCTTTCGCTTGGTTTGTTTAAGAATTGAAATTTGTTGTTCTCTGAGTGGGGTTCAGTTTTATCTTGACAATGGCTTCATTGGGCTTATTTTTTAAGCCCGTTTAATTTTATTTACCGCGCCTCCCATCTTGCAGTTTTCACCCTTGTTCTTTAGAGTGATGAATGGGCTTCAAGCCCATGATGATTCTATCTCATTTACTCCCTTGTTCTAGAATGAAACACCCCCCCCCCCTTTTTTTATTTTATGTTTTTCTAATACTTGTAAGTCTATACAAAACGATCTAATTTTTATTTTGATTCACCCATGATATCAGTTTACATTTTATTTATGTTTTTACTGATATTAATTTTGATTTTGTCTATCCTTACATTTCTGTTCTCTATTTTGCTTCGATTTTTGGGTCGATGACGAGACCTCCAAAATCATTACTAGTCAAACTATTGATAAGTAACGATAAACCCGAGACCAACTTTCTTCTCATTTTCAATCCCGCCTAGATTTTATTTCATTTTTTCGAATCGATGAAGTCATTGGATTCACGAACGTTAGTTTTCGAGGTCATTAACCTTCATTATTTCAAATATGTAGAAAATGATCATTTGGATCATTATTTCTATACTTTGGGATTGTGAGAGTTTACCCTCGATTAATTAACATGAGGTTTGTGATTAAGACGAGGTTTAACCTCACTTTCAATTTCATCTCAATTTTATTTTATTTTTATCAGTCAATGAAGTCTTTACATTCGTAAACGTCGACTTATCGAAGTCGATAACCTTCATTATTTCAAATCTGTAGAAAATGATCATTTGGATCACTTTTCTATACTTTGGTATTGTGAGAGGTTACCTTCGATTAATCGACATGAGTTTATGATTAGAACGAGATCCCACTCTTGTTGGTCTGTGTGACACGACTAAATCGGAGAATGATCCTCAACATCATTTCCCTATCTTGTTTTTTAGCACGGATATCGATTTACGCGGCCTCCTATAGTCCGTCTTTCGTAATAAGTCGAGCTACGCTGGTTTAGCATTACATTTCGACCCATTTCATACAATCAATCATTAATTTTTTATTTTAGTTTTTGTTCAATATATTCTTGCTTTATTTTTCTGTTAATATACCATTGTTTATATACTCTTGCTCGTATTATTGTTTATATTATTGTCGATATTATCTTTCTTATTATCTTGCTCATTATATCATTCATCTTATTATCATTGTTCATATTCATCCTGTCATATTATTCATATTTTGTTCATCTACCATTTTTCTTGTTTATCTCATTTAAAAAATACCAAAAACACAATAAACTACTGAAACCCTAAAAATGATTAATTGGAGGACTGTTGGTCATTACCTTCGGTATTGGAATCTAGGCCCTGTACATAAACCTTAGTTTGGTTATTTTTTTCGAGCTCTTTTTCATTGTTTAGTTTAGGATACCTCGCACACACACAGCTTCCTCTTGAGCTACCTGACAATGACCCCATTTTTTTCTCGCAATCCCTTGTACTTTATATGTATCCCTCTCCCATTATAGTGTAATAG